CTCGACCTTGGTCCACGCTCCATTGGCAAGAATCCAAGTACTTCGGAGCAACCCAGGAGGTATAATGATTCCTGGAGGACGTGACGGGTAATAAACAGGTTGCCTAACCACTACAATGGGATCCATACCAGGCAAACATTGTAACGCTCCTTGCTGGTCAATCTCTTCTGATAAACCTCCTTGGGAAGGATAGGCGTCTCAGTGTAAGGAAAGTTCGGGATATCATCTGTCTTGGACTGAAAGGCTTGTCGAACTGTCGTGTCCACATCTGTACCAGGTGTCACAATGTCTGCCAATTCCTTGCTAGATAAGTCTCCCGGTTCCAACAAATTGATGAGCATGCAAGCTTTCTTCCAGGCTAGTGGATTCTTGAAGCCTTTGGTATGAATGTCGGCTGCCATTTTGGCGGAAATTTCGTAAATCAGCAAGAAGTGATCACGTTGAAAATGTTCATGTAATGAGGCAATAGAGATCTCATGTGTTCTCTGCAGATGTCTCATAGTTGGATTCCTCCTAGAACGAACAACCCCGATCATCCCTTGATTGTCGTCATGGACAAGAAGGTGCGGAAATTTGTTGGCGAGTACCTTCCAGATGCTAATCGATGGTAGTTCCAGCGTTCTCAATGCTGTGTCCGCTGCTACGAACTCAGCTTCGGGCGTAGAATGTGAAACACATCCCTGTCTCTTGCCCCCACCTGCTAAAGGAAAACGTGTATGCTTCCCCTGAACATGGAAATGAGAACCAGACGTTGAACATAAGCATTGCGCGCATCCAGCGAAGTCAGCATCTGCATAAAGAGCCAAGCACAGGTCATCCAACTTGTCCCCAACCCATCCGATCATCTTCATGGACAGTGTTGAGTTGATATAGCACATTAGGTGATGAAGGTTCGCATCGTCTTCATAAGACCACCGAGTTACGTTACGTGCTAATATATTAATTGACCTCAGCAAATCAAACCTTGCTATTCTAGCTGCATACAAGAGTTTCATTAAGATACTTGCAGCATGTGGAGCCAATGCTCCCCTATTGGCCTCGGGTGGGGGCCCACGACTCGAGTCAGGCGACCCTAAAGGAACACTTGATGCCGGATCAAATTGGTGTCAACACCATGGACATTCCACTGCCTTCCCCCCAGGAGCAGGAGACCTGCACGGACTGTGCATGGTCTCTTCCGAAACTTTCTTCAGCTTAGTATCTTTGCCCACAATCTCCAAATATTTCTCCACAGACAACTTGAGAAGTCCCTCCATGTTGTATGTAAGAATTTTGACTTTTGTCCCATCGTAAAGCTTGGATTCTCCCTTTGAAAGAACACAACCCAAATAGAGACCCAGATCAGTTTCGGGCACGATACGCAAAACACCACGTAACAGTTCCCAGCCCTTGGCCAAATTCTTCTCGGGACCGGCTAACTTCAAGTCATCAACATAGATAACCAGGAGGAGCTTCAGTTCCGGATGAAAATACATTGACGGCCACTCTTCATCGATAGGATGAAAATTCACAGTTCGAACTTGTGTGTCACAATGTTTCTCCCACATGGTTCCTGAATCCGGATATCCATGCAAAGCTTTGTCGAGTCTAACAACAGGTCTTCGATATCTCCAATATTGTATTTCTGGAGGCCATGCATCGATAGGTATCCCCACCCAACACAATGGTACAGTAAGCTTTGCTTGGATATATGCTTTATGGCATCGGCTAATTTGACATCATGACCAGGTAAGCATCCATAGAAGTTGGCCCATCATGATGCTTCAAACGATGCAGGGGAACTCCCTAAGTCCTGAAAGAACGCCGCTTCCCAATTTTGATTCTTAACCTGGTTGCCGAGGAGAACGCCTCTTCCCTTAAATTTCCTTCTAACGTCATCATGGGGAAGTTAGTAATTCTTTTCCACACAAATCCTGTGGACCCTGGCCATGTGTATCTCTTCCTTGTTTCTTTTGGCTTCTTTGACAACATCGTCGTATACTCACGGACCATGGTAAAATCAAACACACCTTGGTCACGTAATCTTTTCCACTCCTTTAACATGGCCGCCTTCGCGTCAGGATTCGACTCGATCTCGGCCCTCCCGACTGGTCGCGACACCGTCGCATTGAATAGTTTACCGGCATGTTGGGAGTCAGGTATTTTGACCCTGTGGTTGTTGTCGAAGATCATACAAGGCATAGTGGGTACCTCAAAGATGCAATCGGTATCCTCATCATGGGACGCTCTCTTCTTGGGGTTGTATTTACCTCCTCCAGTGGACTTTCCCTGAATGGATGGCGAAGCCGACCCACCAGGTACGAACACACCAGATTTGGTATCCCAAAACTTTCCTTCCCAAGAGGCTTTCGGGCCATGACCCTGCTCAACTTCTGACCACTTATCCCATTCGACAAGATATTCCTCATCATCTGGAACGTCAGTTGAATCATCTGAACATGGGCTAGCCGCTGAAACCTTTCCATAATGATTACTGAAGTTAATACCTTTCTGACCAAACTCATCAACGAACTCATATTTGTCCGAATATTTCGCGATTCCCCGGGTCGAAGACCGTACGAATAGAACACTTAGTTTCTTGTGAGCTGAAGATAATGAAGGACCTTTGTCGCCACCTTTCCCGTCCTCATCGGGGTCCTCTTTCTTTTCGGCAGGGCTTTTGGATTTGGCTTCCCTGGCGAGTTTGGCGGCTTTAATCTGCTTGTCATTCTCTTTCTCCTGCATCTTCTTAATCACCTTGCGATCGGCAATTGGGGTTCGTTACATTCATCAGGGGTGTATTTGTCAATAGGTCTTGGTGAATCTCGGAACATTCTTCTACCATCTTTCCCAGTTTTGTAGGGTCTTCCAATTTTGTAAGTTCACCAATGTCATTCAAATAGATCTTCCCATCACCAGCTTTCCCTTCTTTGTCATATTCATAACTTTCTTCATGAAGTGGATCAACCGGTTTCATGACGGAATCCGACTTTGAAACTTTTCGCCCTCCACCATGGCTATCACCCCCATCGTCATCACCACCATCTTCAAAATCTGTACCATCATCGATCTGCCCAGGATATGGTGTCCCTAGTTCGTACTCAAGACCTGGCCGTGGGATCTCTGGGTCTCCATCACGAATGTCCTTGTCTCTGAGCCCTTCCAACGTCGTATTAGTCTTCTCATAGGAATCTTTGAAAGGGAATGACAGGTGGGTTTCCATGAAGATCTCCCGATTAGTGTGGGGCTTGAGTAGTCGATGAATGGGTCTTTCAGTATTGTAAACAAGATTCTGTGAAGTGAACTCATCAAGGGACCATACTCTATAATGTCCAGACCAATGCATTCCAGCTGAAATGGAAAAACCAACAAAGATACCAGGGATAGACTTAGGATCGAACTTGTGTCCTTATTCTACACCTCGAGTCACATTGGGTTTGAAGAATACTTTGGCACCATATAGAATCTTCTTGTCAGGAAATTCTTCTCCATGTAACTTACACCATGCGCTAACCTCTTCCTCCCCGGGTTCAGTAAATGACACACACACTCGATGGCAGTTCGCCAGAAGCATGGGGGTAAACCCGCTTCAAGCAAGCATGTGGCAGTGGCTGTGATAATAACTTGATTGTTCATCTCCTCCATGGCCTTAAGAAAAGCTGGCTCTCCATCTAAATACACTTGTCTGCATTTCCGCAATCCAATAAATCTCTTGATGGCCCTCACCACATTGCCAGAATCCACTGTGTTCATAATGTAGGAAGCAATGATACCAGCCTATCGATCTCGTACAACCAGAACTTCCTTCCCTAGGGTAATCCCATCATCAATGACTTTTGTGGAATCAACTAAATCAAATGTAATGAGGTCCCCAAATCTCTTCAGATTACGCTTGAATGCATCTCGATGAGTCTTGTAGTGCTTCATCTTGGCTCTGACGCACGAATCACAGTACGGATTCTTGAAACGGTGAGTCAACTTGTGTTCAATGGACCTGGCCTCTACCTTGAGGGTACCTCGCTTTGCCAATCTAGCATCTCCATCAACAATATCAACCTCAAGGGTATCATCATCATCCTTACCATCAACGTCAGGATCGTCGTCGTCTTCATCGACTGCATCATCAGGTCTGTCTGGAACATCTTCGGGTGCAGCGTCGTCATCAGGGGGACCTGGTGGATCATCACCGTTTCCCTCATCCCAGATATCGCTGGGGTTCTCATAGTGTTCGCCAGCTGCTACCTTTGATTTCCGAGATCTCTCTCTTTTCTTGATTCTTCGCTTCAATTTCTTCTTCTTATGACTCTCAGGATTTGGATCACAGACTTCATCACCACTACTGCTATCGATGTAGAAGACACGATGGGTTCCCTCACCATTGAAGTCATCATTCTTGTCAAACAGAAATGAATGAATTCTCGAAGCCTCATGATCTTTCCTGGGCTCACATTCGTCCGTTCCAAGACTGATATAGGGGATGTTGTCGTGAACGGTCAAGTCTATCCTCAATCCATTTTCATCAATCATGTAGGGTAATTGTCCACATGGCCAGACAAAGGTATAACCCTCATCCATGCACCGTTTTCCCATGGAAAGTACAGGAGGGGTATCCTCAAGTACATATGCACTTGCTGGCTTCTTAAAGGTGCCCAATTCCAGAATGGATCGTTCAGTGGTCCTGGTATTACCATTGGCAATATGAAAAATACTGCTCCATTTCCAGATTCATCCTTTCTGCACGTTTCTCGGATATAAGGTCATGTCCACTTCCAGAATCGAGGATGAACCGTCGGTCTCTCTCCAGGATAGGCATGGTAATACACATTACATCATCTTTCCTCTCGAACTTTTCACCTGAATGTTTTATGGGCTCCTCGTTGAATTGTAATAGATCGGGTCCATCATCATCCAAAGTGATTTTGATGTCAAATTTTGGTCCCACGATGATACGAACTTCACGAACGTCTTTATAATCCCCAACTCGATCCATGATAATTCCTCTTGCTCTTGCTCTGGCGCTCCCCAAAGAACTTTCCATGCGTGTTTGTTCATCTTTGAAGTGGGCCATGTCAACCAACTTGTAAGGTCGATTGGGATCCCGTCGATGAGCTTTGGGTCTAGTACCATAACCATCAACCTCAATGTTCTCAATCTCAACAATTGGGTCAAACACAACGTTGAATGATTTGAGGTCGGCCACACTTGCATACCCCGTGGTTTCGGTCTCTTCTTTCAGTGTCCGAGCAGAAGAAGTTGTCTGCCAGGGCAGGTGTAGCTTTGGCTTTGGCTTTTGCCTTGGGAGTCGCAGGAGTCGAAACAGCGGGCTGATGAGAGAATCTGCACTTGTCCCCAAAACGACATTTGTTTTTGAGAATTTTTGAGATATAGATAGCAAATCTTCTTTCCATCTTTGTCTGTGGGCGCAGGACTCTCTAATCTTCCTCTCGTCCTCTTGGATGAACTGTTGCTCCTACTCCGATCTTTCTTGTTCTTTCTGGCATCATAGACTTTCTTTAAATGGCTGTATGGACATTCATCACCCTTCTTTCAGTTGTTCTTCTCGAAATGAAAAACACAATACATCTTCTTCCTGTCACGTGTATCAGGAGATTGGGATCTACCTTCTTTGCCGTTTCCCTTGGGTTTGCCATGAGATTTCGGCGCTGCAGTAGGATATACTGGGGTCGCCGGTGCTAGGTCTCCATCTTTGCCAGTCTTCCCACCTTTCGGATTCCCTCCAGGAGCCGGTTTGGCCTTTGGCTTAGGATTGGGTTTCTTTGGTGGGTCTTCATCTGAACCTTCAGCTGGCGTAGCTTTTGGGTTCCCAACAAAGTTCATAACGGCCTTCTCTTTAGCTTTCAGAAATTGATCCCCTATCTTCTTCTTGACATGTTTCCTGATCATATCGATAAGGTACTTGTAAGAACGGTCTTTGTCCCCCTCAATAGTTGACTCATATCTTGACAGATCGAACTTCATCAACTGGGAGTGCTCAATCTTTCGATATAAGGTCTCCTCAAGAAGCTTGTCAGTGGGCTTATTGGCAAGATCCATGTTGTTCAAGATATCAGTCCAACGATTATTAAAAAAAAAAATCCATCAGGTTGTTGTCACCACTGTACCTCATGATGTGCAAATGGTGGTAGGTAAAGGACGCCTCCAAATGGGATGAAGTTCTGAAGTTGTCAACGACCATAGCGAGGATTTCCCCCTAGTGAATAAATTATCTTTGCCCTTCTCTTGCATCCTCTGACGAAGTCTAGCTTTGACGTCGGCTCCATGCTCACCAGAGCTTTGAATCATGGTGAACAGGGCCAAACTCAACTTCGAATCGATGGATTGGAATTTTGCAGCATTCTGTTTGCTAAGTTCATTCAAATCAGGTTCGGGTTCCAAAGCAGGCCTGAGCCAATCCTCCCACGCTTCACAATCGTTCCAGAAGCAACGCATACGTTTTGGATAGCCAGCGACTTCCACACTTGCACCTTTTCAACTTTTGGCCAAGGAGGGATGGTGGCCTTCTCGAACTTTTTCCTGCACACTCGAGTCGGAGACTTGTTCTCTAGTTCGCTCAATTCCTTCACTTGTTCGTTGTATTCGTTACGAACCTTCTCGAATGCCTCAGATTCTGCTCTACAGGCCTCTTCCTCCTCATTTAAGTGAACCTCAAGTTGATTGAAGTATGATTTGTATTTGTCTTTTCTGGCCTCCATATCATTAAGCTCGCTTCTGATTCTCTCATGCTCTGCATTGTGGGATTCTTCGAGGCTTTTGATGACTATGACACTATCACTCTTCCAATCTTCAATCTCTTGTACCAACTTTGCAAATCTTTCATCCCCAGCCCCTTCTATCGCACTAGATGACCTCACACCTCCGCCATGGCCTATGCTGTTGTTCTCCAGAGCCAATGGAGCTTGACTTCTGCAGGACTCTTTGGCCTTGAGTTCGGATGCTTCACCTTTAAGCTGACGGACTTGGGCTTGGAGAGTGGCAACTTCTTGGTTCACACTTGGAACTTGGCTTGAAAGTCTAGCCTCTTGATTAGCCAACTGTCGTTTCAAAAGTTCGGTCTCTTGACGGCTGTGAGCAAGTTCATAACTCTTGGTGGAACTATCTTTCATGCGGATCTCACTCCTCATGCGTGCCATTGTCTGGTCTCTCTGAGCACTAGCCTCTCTCTAGCTCTTGGCATTGGATCTCCAATCCACGGCATCTTTGATTGAGGCTCCGGACGTTGGCATGTTCAAGGGATAATTCATGCTGACACGGCTCTAGCTCATAGTTCGTTTCAAAAACTCTGACGTTTAATCTTTGAGATACTTCATTCAACTCAAGAATGACACTATCCCTTTGACTATTGACCCTAGCAATTTCTTCTTCTAGACGTAAAACATTTCTTTCGATCTCCGTCCTTGCGCGAAAATTGGATGATCGATGTTCTTGGAGTTCCACATGTAGATGGCTGACATTCTCATTCTCAAGGAGAGACATGTTAGCCTCATATTGGGTCAAGTTTTCTAGGCGAGCGACATTCTCAATCTCATAGGTCAAACGGTTGTGTGCGTGTTGCAATTGAGATCGAAGATCATCAGTCGTTCCAGCTGCACTCGATCCGATGTTCCCAATCAGGCTTTGAGCATAGGTCATTTGTTCATTGTATTCAGTCCTGAGATCTTGGTACCTCATGTTGATGTAAGCTGCAACCTCCTCAGAAAGATCTCTGAATCGTTCCAGTTCTTCGATGCGATACGTCGATCCCTCGTCTTCTTGACGTGATTCTTGCAATTCAGTAGTCATAGCGCCAAGACGTGCATTCATGATCACAAACTCGTCATGTGCAGCAATCTCGATCTTCATTGCATTCTCTTCGCTCGTTCTCCAGATGTTGAGACAGCGTAGCTCTTCTCTCCTGACGGAGTCTTCCGAGTTGTAGAGTGCCTTTCGTAGCTGTGTGATCTCCTCGTTGAGCATTGAAGTTTCCTCAGGTTCGCCAGTAGGACCCGAAGGGTACCCGCCAACTCCCATAGGTGATGCGTATGCTTCAGAAAATGGTATCGACTGCATAGGTGAACTCACTCTTGATGGCATGGGTGATATATCCCTTCGCGGCATCTTCTTTGGAGTTGTCGGGGGAGTATCGGATTTGGATTTTCCAGACGTTCTATCCACATCCATTATGGCTTGGGATGCGCTTCCAGCTATGCCTCGGGGCTCGATCATCTTCCGAGGGGTACTTCGTTTCACTGATCCAGATGCTGTTCCAGTGACGGTTCCACCATCGGTCTCGATGCTCGGCGATGTCCCTGCCTGCGAGCCACCAGCGGGAGCGGCAGGGTTCGTAAATGAGAACGACGATGCACTGTCGTCTGTCATCACAACTTCAAACGGTTGGTCTCACGTAGCCCAGTGTAGTCAGAGCGACTACGGCTGATAACCTGTGAATCCAGATTGATCAGCTACTGGTTCTCAATGGGGTCAAAGACGTGGTTGCAACGCAGACAGCTTATGGCGGCAATGACGCTCTCTTTTCCGGACCACTTGCAGAGGTCTTGAGCCAACAGGACCTGGTGATTGCACAGTCTATAGACCCGGTCCAGTGGCCCAGCATGTTATGGGATTCTGAATTGAGTACCGTTGAGAGTTGTACACAGAGGAATTTTTACACACAGGAGCTTTTACACACAGAAGCTTTTACACAGGCAGAGAAGTCGGTACACAGAGGAGCTTTTACACAGAGAAGTCTTTACACAGAGGAGATTTTACACACAGAAGCTTTTATAGACAGAAGTTTTTACACGAGTAGCCTTTACACAGAGGAGATTTTACACGCAGAAGCTGGTACACACAGAGGCGTTTAAACAGAGGAGTCTTTACACACAGACACGCTTATACACGAAGCCTTTGCGCACAGAAGCTTTTATACAGAGTAGCTCTTACGCAGAGAATCTTGTACACACAGAAATTTTTACAGAGAGAAATTTTTTACGCAGAGAAACCTTTACACAGATGAGCTTTTACACCGAGAAGTCGTTACGCAGAGGAGCTACTTCGTCCCCGCTCCCCCTGCGGCGAAGCAAGCTAAACGAAAACCCAAGCATAAATAACGACCAGCAAGATGGGATACACTTACATTAGCAGAAATAACGACTCAAAAAAAAACCGATGTAGCTGAGGCAGCATGCTGTGGCGAATTGTGGCCGCTGATACCATCACTATTCACGATGTCTCAATAAAGATATTGCGTCGATTTCGTGCAGAGCACAGCTGCCCACACCACCATATTTTTAAAAAGGCGCGCTGTGTGCCGTCTTGCTTTTGGGTTCTCTGGCGCACCTTGTTTTTGTGGTTGGTTGTGACACTTCTGGAAAATGCCCTGCTGTTTGGATGGCCATGTTGGATCAGTGTTATTGACTCCTCAAACGAGCTGTGAGTGAGCTGCTTTGCTTGAAGATGGTTTGAAGACAGCTTGGGGATGGAAGACAAGACGATGATCCATCATTGATGCTGGTAATGATGTGTTTCTGCGTTTCTGCTTGAGTTGTTTCAGTTTCCAGTTCGTTAAGCCATTCGTCCCAGTGTGATGTCATGTCTTGCCGAACGTGCTTGGAAGCTGTGATTTCGAAACCGGGTGGCTGGAATTCGTGTTCCGTTCTTCGTCCAAGGAATGAGGCGGTGCTTGAAGGGCATTCAACACGGCCCAGTGTGCAGATCATTGCCTTTGATACTGGGATTCTGCATGGGCTTGCAAGCACCATACTCGCACCAGAAGGTGCAGTCGAAGCAGGGGCAGGGGCCTTGAACCTAGATGCCATGCTGTCAGGCAGGCTTGCCCCCAAATCCCAAAATCGACACAGAATCGCTATGCGCGGAGTCGCAACAGGCGCAGATCCTCCTTCAGATGTGCCCTTTCCCATAATTCGTCGCGCAATCTAGCCCGCGGAACACCCTGGATACTGCGGCGCATCTGCTTCTTTGCCTTTTTGCTCTTTAGGTTTTCCGCTCCATTTCTTCTATGCGTCTTTTTTTGCTTCTTTGCCTGTCTGCTTTTGCGCTTTCCTGCTTCTTTGCTTTTTTTCTTTTTTTAGTTTTCAAATTTCATTTAGCAGACTTCTCTGCTATCAGACTTCTCTTCTCTCAGACTTCTCTGCTATCAGGACGTCTCTGCTATCAGACTTCTCTGCTATCAAACTTCTCTGCTATCAGACGTCTGTGCTATCAAACTTCTCTGCTATCGTTCTGTGTTAGCAGACTTCTCTGCTATCAGACTTCTCTTCTCTCAGACTTCTCTGCTATCCTTCTGTGTTAGCAGACTTCTCTGCTATCAGATTTCTCTTCTCTCAGACTTCTCTGCTATTGATTGTTTTGCTTGATGCAAAAGCGTCTCGGAATACACTTCTCGATTTGAGTATATTGCACAATAAGAAAACCTGACATGACAGCTAACTGAACATGTATGTAAAAGGGATGCAAGAAGCGGAAACCATAAGCACCCCGCCTCGACACAGCCTTTTGGCTAGTGTCGCACTAAGTTGTAAATTTCTATTGGAAAAGTTGCAATCATGTTTGCCGCTGGGGTCCATTTTAGGATGCCAGTACATGCCTAATCCTTTCAGGATTTTCATGATGCAACACCTTGAAACGCTCTAATTTCCTCATGGTAAATGTAGACGTCCAAAGGCTAACAGGGATCCAAGTTATCCCCTGGCTAAAGCCTCATGAGCTGCTTCCAAGCGCTGGTGGCTAGAAAACCACTTTCATTTTCATCCATCATTCACCATGTCTTTGCTTTGCTATGTTGCATTGCTTCCATCGCTCTCGACGCTCTCATCTGAAATCTCATCTCCATTGTGCAAATAGTTCCATAAGCTTGGATCTGAAACTTCGCTTCTCCTCGAACTCATATACCTTTGCATGGCCTGAGATCGGGTTTCATCACCATTGGACTCAGAGGTAGGTGATGGGGGAAAGTTTGCATTCCTTCCCAAGGTATTTGCTACCATGTCAACATTGGTGCTGATACCGGTGCTGCTTGATGCACCGCTTTGGAGCGTACCTATGAAAGCGGGAGCTCTCTGAGCATCACCCAAATTTGCTGGCCCATTGATTGCAGCATAATTGGGGGAATTCTCATCGTCGCTGATGTCCGACATAGATCCAAGGGCCCTTCGAGCCGAATTTCGAAAGGAGGCATGTTGTGAAGTCAAGGCTGATTGGAGTCCAAGGAGAATTGTGATTCTCTCCTCATTCAATCTCCTTCGAATTGGATCATTTGCTTCATCTCTTCTTCTGGCACATCGTCGCAACAACCATCTTACATAGTTCTCTGCAGTCAAGGCTGTATCAGCCGCAGAGCCGCTGGAAGGCATTGAGGGAGGTGCATCTGCAATGGGTATTGCAGATGTTGCATTGTTCATATTTTCTGTTCCAAGGCTTTCACTGACAGCGGGTTCTGCATCGGGCTCATTGTTCACTGGTCTGTTTCTTTGTAAACCATTCACCATCATCCAAAAAATTGTAAAGCAAAATCCAAGGACAAGTGTGAAAACCAAAAGACCAACTGTGGGGCTCGAAGACACATCGTTGTCTTCAGCGCAACCTTTAAGGGTCAGGAGGCTCAAGACGCTCATTATCGCATGCACCTTCTGCTTCTTGGAGAAAATGCGTCCTGGGTCATCAGCTCCTGCAACCAAACCTGTTGTCACATCAAACATTCCAAGCATGCTCATCAACGAGCGAAGTCTTGAGGAAGGCAGGCGCTTTGTCCCTATGTTTGCAGGGTTTGATGCACCAGCCACGCATGCAAGCTTTATGGTGCCATCAGCAACAAGGCTTTGAAGCCATAGAACTCTGCAGGACAAATGCCTCACCCTTCCTACGCCTTGGCGTTGGATGATTCCTCTTGCAGCTGAGCTGTCGCAGTGTAGGTGGATGCTGCACTTGAAACCTGTCATCCATTCAACAAGCCTGCATAAGAGGATACCATCCGAAGTGCCGCTAGAACAAGCGTAAACTTCTGCTTCAGCACTTGAAAGGGATACCTGTCATTTGCATACATGCAACATGAATCCATCTGCCAGGTACCATTTTTATATCGACCTGTCAGGTATCCATTTTCACCAACGTTGCCCACTCTTCTCAATACCATTGGCAGGTGGGCGGGAATTTCACCAAGCCATAGCTGCTGCGAAAAGGTGCAGACTTCGAGCGCTTGCACCACCGTTGCCTCTTGGAAACTTCGTGGGTTCCTACTTTGCTTTCTGTGTTTCAACCCTGCAGAAGCTACATTGGTAGCGGAGCCGAGATTGCTCGGCCTCCTGCTGCTGCTGCGCACTCCAACTTAACCAATAACCCTTACAACCTCACCTTCAACCTTGTGATTTCCTTCTACAACTTTCTGGACAAGATCTATCGAGCTTTGCACTTTGCCAGTCCTACATCTTTGAATTTGTCAAGGACCTCGGGCTCTGGCTTGGCAGTGCTTCTCTTCTACTTGGCCCTGGGCAGTGCTTCTCTACGAGAGCTATGTCAGCGGGCGCAACGACTTCGAGCGCAACTGCCTTGGACCAGCAGAGCACTCGCGACAGCTACATCCCTGTCTTTGATGGCACTCCAGCGAACTACAAGGAATGGCGGAAACGAATCATCATCTATGCCAAGAAAATGGAGCTGATGAACAGAAAAGGCGAGTGTGTGCTGAACTTGCTTGGTTCTTTGCAAGGAACAGCATGGAAACTTGTCGAGGACTTTGACTTGGAGTTCGTGAGCGGCGACACCGCCCTGAAGGACATCTTGGCCCTGTTGGACGCAGCTTTCCAGTATGACAGCAAGGTGGAGATGCCTGCGGACTTTGCCGCATACTTCGAAAGCCAAGGACGTCGCAGTGGTCAGAGCCTCCTTCAGTTCATCACCGACCATGATGATCGACTTCGCCGAGTAGAAAAGCATGGAGTCAAGCTTCCAGCAGAAGTTCAAGGATGGCACTTGTTGGCAAAATCCAACATTTCCAAGGAGCAGAAGCAGATGGTGATGACTCAAGCCAACTCCTTGGAGCGTACGAAGATTCAGCAAGCTTTGTACTCCATCCTTGGTCAGGACTACAAGCACAGCCATGTTCCAAACCCCAGCCGATGGTCTTCCTCATCACGCCCTTCTGGAAGAGGTCGTGGATACTATGTGGATGAGGACAACAACGCCTATGAAGATGACGCTTGGGGCTACATGGCTGAGGATGACGACTTTGCCTACTATGAGTACGACGATGGTGCTTGGGAAGATGATGGCAACTATGATGAGTTTGACTGCGATGCTGTCTACTACCAGGAAACTACGGATGATCCCATCATGGATGACTACGGCTATGACCCTGACGAGTACGATGAATGCTTTGCAAGCTATGTGGATGCTCGACGAAGGTTCAACGAACTTCGCATGTCGAGAGGCTTCTTGCCTGTCGTTGCACTCGACCCCAATGCCTCCGGCTCTAACCAGCAGCCCATCAACAACAAGGGCAAAGGAAAGAAGGGTCGTGGAAAAGGGCGTGGAGGAAAGAACAATGTGAAGTACTCCAAGCCGCCAATGAAGCCTCACGATCCCAAAGGTCGAGCACAAGCTGCACTTCGATGTCGTCGATGCGGATCAACAAGCCATACGACAGCGCAATGTACCCAAGGATCCAAGCCAACTCAAAAGGCTACTCCAACTGGTCCCAACAAGCGACAAGCCACTGAAGGAGTTGCTTCGAACAACATCTTCGACCCTGAGAGCGGCATGGTGATGTTCGAGGACCAAACTGGAGCTCAAAGGCCAGATTGTGCGATGATGGATCCTGGTGCCTCCTCTTTCTTGATGGGCTATGGTCCTTTTTGCAGATACTTGGACCACCTCAAGAAGCTCAACTTCCCTGTGCACGAGATCACCCTCAAGAAGGCCAACAGAAACTTCCACTTTGGAGGTGATCACCAAGCAGTTAGCTCTTGGACAGTGCACCTGCCCATCTTCGTGAACCACCAATTTGGATTGGTCCAAGCGTTCCTCTTGAAAGGAGAGACACCAATGCTGCTTGGACGACCAATCACAAAAGCTCTTGGCATGTCCCTGGACTTCCTCAACGATCGCATCAAGTTCAACAATGGTGACTGGCGTGACGCAACTCTTGGACGACACAGTGAATACCTGTTGCCACTCACTGAGGACTTTGACCCGGCGATCATCTCCAATGGTGCTGCCTTCGACCTGGTGCTTGAAGATGAGGACGGCCCCAACTTCACCCTTGAGCACTTCCAGACCACTGAGAATGTGTACATGGCCGACGAGCACCCAGCACCTGAAGGTTCACTTCTCCTCAAAGGCAAGCTGCTGAAATCCATCAACAACTTTGTGCTGACACGCCTGAAGGCGGCAGAGGCCTACATTGCCCAAACTCTTCATGACATGGAAGAGAGACGACCTCGAAAACTATGGGAAGTTTACTGTGGGCATGGCCGAACTTCTGAGATTGCAACTTCTTTTGGCATGGAGACCCAGCGATTTGGATTTGAAACTGGATGGAACTTTTCACTGCGATCTCATCAACGAGCTTTCATGGACTTGCTCGATGAGGAACTACCAGATGAAGTTCTACTTGCACCATCCTGTTCGCCTTGGTCTCCCATGCAGAACGCCAACATGCAGAACGAGCGCAAATGCCAGCAGTTGCAACAACTTCGAGAATGGCATCACAGAGTTCACCTGCGGTTTTGCAGGAGGATTTACTTGAAACAGCTTGGAGAAGGACGACATGCACACCTTGAACAACCAACTCCAGCTCTCTCTTGGAAGACGAGCTCACTACGAGATCTTCCTGGACATCGAGCACGATTTCATCAATGCCAATATGGATGTGTCTGCATGACTGATGAAGGCTCATGATGCCTGTGCGCAAGGACACCACCATCTTGACTTCGAAAGCTGCGGTGGCACAGGCCATGAACCGCCTTTGTCCAGGAGACCATCAACACTGCCGACTTGAAGGCCATCTGAAAGGTTTCAACACTCTGAAGACCACCTTCATGCAGGACTACCAGCCTGCCATGGCCGCCACATTGGCTGCTGCAATTGCTTCTCCGGAAGTACCTCACCCTTGGGACTTTGGATTTGCAGTCCAAGAGGTGAAGGAGCATGTCGGCAAGATGATTGACTTACATGTGGAGGGCAAGGCCGAAGCCTTGCGAGTTGTTCAGAAACTCCACAGGAACCTTGGACATCCTTCCACAAAGCCCTTGGTCGAGCTTCTTCAAAGCCGCAATGCCAGTGAAATTTTGATCCAAGTTGCTGGAACCTACGTTTGTGCCGCCTGTCAAAGGTACCGTAAACCAAATCAGCCAGCACCTTCAAGCATCAACACTGCAGAGAACTTCAACCAGAAGGTTCAATCAGATGTCTTTTGGATCAAAGAGGGTGGCGTGAAATACCCAATTCTCTCCAACATCGACATGGCCACCAAGTATCAGACCGCCACGCTGCTGCACAAAGAGAAGACTGGCGACCTGATCACTGGATTTGAGCGGTCTTGGATTGCCCATTTTGGGCCACCAGCCAAACTTCTTACAGATGAAGGCAGAGGATGGGTCAGTGACCAGATGGCTGAATGGACTGATTCTTTGTCCATAAACCATGAAGTTGCCCCTGGTGAAGCCCATACACGAATGAGCTTGGTTGAGAGGCGACATGCCGTGCTGAGGAAAGCCATTGAGGTGTATATCTCTGACTTGGACTTGCATGGCCCCGATGGACTTCGAACGGCGTTGACGTACATCCTCCCTCAGCTGAATGCTCAACCAACTGTGGCTGGCTACAGCCCATCTCAGTGGCTTCTTGGGTATCAGCCATCGATTGGCAACCTCCTGACCTCTGACCAGATCACTCCAGTTCATCTTGCTGGTGGATCCTCTTTTGAAGAAGCCCTGCAACGAAGAAACATGGCCAAAACGGCAATCCTCCAAGCAGACACAGACCAGAAGCTACAGCGTGCACTACTTCGCCGATATGCTGGCGACAACATCAAGCTGTCAGTGGGCCAGACTTGCTACTTTTGGCGAGATGCACAGCAGAGCGACTTGGTCAAGATACGTTGGAAGGGCCCAGCCAAAGTTTTGATGGTCGAATGTGATGGAGATGGCAAACCAACATGTTACTGGATTTGCTACAAGACTCAGCTTATACGATGTGTACCTCATCACTGCAGACCAGACTTCCATGCCTTGGCCACCAACGTCATCGACAACTTGGAGGAAGCAAAGAATGTGATCAGACAGGTCAAGTCACGTGGAGTCATTCGGTACCTGGACTTGAACCGTGTGAACAAGCAGCTCATCGACGATGTGGAGGAAGACGAAGAGATGATGTCAGACAGTTCAAACCCTGAGCAGATCTCCAAAAGAAGACGTCTGGCTATGTCTCCAGCACCTTCAGTGAGCTATGAACCATCGCTTGCCGATGATGAAGTTCCAATTCCTCCTGAACAAGATGATGCTGCCAACAACGATTTGATCCACAACAACGGTGCAGACCTTCCTCAAGATGTTCCTGTACCCGACACCAACGACAATGCCGAGAACTTGTTTGAGCCTTCAGCTGAACCATTTCCACCAACACCGATGGCAACGTCACCTGTGAATCCAACTTCAATACCAACATTTCCTGACCAACATGTTTCAGTAAAACCACCATCACAACTTACATTGCCACAACCTTCACTCTCCTCAATTCAACAACCATCACCCTCTTCACTGCCTTTGCCTTCACAACATTCAGTGCCACAAGATATACAACATTCATTGCCACAAACCACACCAGTTTCAGTGCCACAGTCAATACAACCACCACTACCTTTTGGAGAAACGTTTCAACAGCGAAGAGCCAGACTTGATCGACAAGAGATGATGCCCATTTTCAACCAACCACACCGACATCAACGACGAAACCAAGATGGACCTTATTCAAAGCCAACACCCAATGATGATGACGACTTGGCCAACGTTGTTTTTCAGGTCGAAGATGTTGATCCTGATGGACTTCCTAGCGATTGGCACTTCAGACCTGAGACTGGCTATTTTGAGCTGCGACCTGGAACCACCAACAGAGACTTTCGGGAAGTCAAAGCAGGATGTTTGATACGCCACCATGTACATCCTCGCAAGACCTTGTTTGACCCCAACGGCTTCAAGGACATCCCAATCCCGGTGGAGCACCTCGACAATACTAGAGTGACTGTCCACCACACCATTGACGGCCAGATTGCCTCCTTCACTGACGACTTCAAGAACCAGATGCACTTCACCAAAGACCTGAAGAAGCATCAACTGCCTGCTCAATGGTTTGGAATCACGGTCTTTCAGATCAATGCCACCACCAGAAAGGAGCTTGGGATGACAGCCCAGGACCAACGCAGCTCAGCCAAGAAAGTTGCCCAAGATGCCAAAGTCCAACAAAAACGAGTCTTTCGCCGCGACATGGCCAAGAACAAAGGTGAGATCTCCGAGAAACACCTCACTGCTGCTGAGAAGGAGCTGTTCCTCCAGGCCAAGGTGAAAGAACTTCAGTCGTTTTTCGAAAATGGCGTGTGGGAGTTTTCCACATCAGCAGACGCCATACCTGAAAGGACTTTGACAAGCAGAATCCTTTTGAAATGGTCCAAAAACACTGACGGCACCCCACGTGCGAAGGCACGATTGGTTGTCAGAGGTTTCAACGATGTCGATGCTTTGAATGGCAACCTTGACACTGCGAGCCCTACGACCAGCCGCCTGAGCAGATCAATCCTGCTGACGGTGTCCTCATGCTTGCGATGGAAAGCTTGGGCCGCAGATGTATCAACAGCCTTTTTGCAAGGACTTCCACAAGAACGTCAACTATGGCTTCGTCTTCCAGCAGAAGCTCTACGAATCCTTGGTGCTCCTCCAGAGACCCGTATGTACCTGAAGAAACCTGTCTATGGATAATTGGATGCACCACGTAGATGGTACCTGGAAGCCCTGCGTAGACTTGAAAGCCTTGGTTGGAAGCGACATCAACTTGATCCCTGCCTCTTCATGCTCTTCGACGACTCCAACATCACTGATGGCGACACGCCCAAGTTGGTTGGCCTCCTCATCATCCATGTCGATGACATTTTGGCTGCAGGAGATGAGACCTCTGCAGTATATGCTGATGTTGAGAAGCGGCTGAAGGAAGTTTTCAACTTTCGAACTTGGGAAGCTGACACGCAGACCTTGGAATACTGCGGTGTGAAGTTGGAGCGGCAGAACTATGCATGGTCAGTCCACCAAGAGGACTACTGGAAAAAGGTGAAGCCCATCACCATCCACAAAGGCCGTTCTGCTGAAGATGAGATGAACGAGCACGACAAGTCTCAACTACGTGCTTTGTTGGGATCAATACAATGGCCAGCAGTTCAAACAGCCCCACATGTGCAATGCAGTGCCAGCCTCATTAGCGGCCAGAAGAAGACCAACAAGCTGCGCGCCATCATTGAGGCGAACCAGCTGCTCAAGTTTGCCAAGCAAAACCTGGATCTGCGATTGCGCTATGAGCCTTTGAACGTCCAGAGCTTGGACGACATCAGACTTTTCTTTATGTTTGATGCTGCACATGGGGTTCGTGAAGATCACACTTCACAGGGTGGTTACATTGCCTTCTTTGCCACGGACGAGATTTTTCAAGGCGAGAGCCACTTTCACATCATTGACTGGCGCAGTTTTAAGCTGCCACGTGTCGCAAGGAGCAGTTTGAGTGCCGAAGCCCAAGCTTGCGGCCAATCCTCCGACATGGCTGAATATGTTGCCAGGTTTTGGAGCTGCATGCTACGACCTACGCAAAACCTTCGAGACCATTTGGATGAAACCTCAACCTTGCAGCCTTGCCTCATCACTGATGCGAAGGCCCTCTATGACTCCTATCACAAAGAAAGCCTTGCAGGTGCCTCCACCGTGGACAAGCGCACCGGCCTTGAAATCCGTGTTGCAAAAGAACAATTGACCTCACTTGGAGGTATGCTGCGATGGGTGAGCTCCGAGAGACAGTATGCGGATGGCCTCACAAAGATGTCAACGCGTGCACTCCTTGCCGAGCGCATCCGTTACCACAAGATGAAGCTGATGTGGGATCCTGAATATACCAGTGCGAAAAAGAAAACAGCTGCTGAACGTGAAGCCAGCAGAACTGAGTTTGCAGAGCCGAAGAAGAAGAAGAAGAAGGAATCACAAACAACCTCACCAACCATTCATCATCACTTCAACACGCGACACCTGAACCTCCACACCATTCCAACATGTTTGAAAAGTGCGATATGACTGAAGATGAGCGCCCTTTTGACCAGCGCTATGCCATGGGAGATGAGCGCCCTTTTGACGAGCGCTATGCCATGGAAGAGCCCTATGAGCCTGTCGAGGCCTACGCTGGTTTCGTAAAGAATGCCAAAGCCATTGTGTATGCCCTGACGCTCTATGCCACTATGCCAGCGGCTTCAGCGATGCATGTGCCATTGGACCATGAACATGGACGATGGGGAATTTATTTCTTTTGGATCATTTTGATCCTGCTGCTTTTGGGCTTGGCTTTTGCCCTTGGTCGACGGCGAGGCATTCGACTTCAACGTGCACGACAAGCTGAAGATGTCAGCGCTGCTCTGAACCGCCTCGACAGCCTGCAGCTTCGAAACGACCGGCATGATGTGGAAATGCGAGAAGAGATCAACATGCTGCAGGAAGTTCGACATAACCTTGAACTGGAGCGCCGATCAGCGAATGTGATGGCGATCATGATGGAATACAACGGCCACCAGATCCGACACATGGTTGGACGGATTGATAGACTTCAAGGTTTGATCGCAAACCATCAGATGCCGTGCCCACTTGGCGACACCATACTAGTGCAAGAGAACTTGGATGAGACCCAATGGCACGTTGATGCTGACTGCCCCATTCTCCAGATGAATCGAACTCCGATCTACGAGCTAGATCACTGCCAGCTTTGTGCCCCTCGCGATGTGCGCATGGTTCAAGACCGAGCATTCACTGGTCGATGAGAGATGCCGTGTGTTTCATTTTTTTTCTTCCCAAATCAAAGATTTGGACGTGCTGATGCATTTGACCGGCTGTTAGCCAACATTCCCCCGTGTCATTTGCATACATGCAACATGAATCCACCTGCCAGGTACCATTTTTATATCGACCTGTCAGGTATCCATTTTCACCAACGTTGCCCACTCTGCTCAATACCATTGGCAGGTGGGCGGGAATTTCACCAAGCCATAGCTGCTGCGAAAAGGTGCAGACTTCGAGCGCTTGCACCACCATTGCCTCTTGGAAACTTCGTGGGTTCCTACTTTACTTTCTGTGTTTCAACCCTGCAGAAGCTAGAATACCAATTTTTGCGTCCGTGAACATGAATATAAAAGACATCCTCCAAGGAATATGGTGGCACATGAGACTGAACGTCGACTGGTCCTGTCGCTTGCCCAGTCGCTGTCCGTGTAGATCTCCATGATGCTCTCACCAGGTATGGAGGTGCTGTAGCCATGAAAGAGGCCAGTGGTTCTTCCCTTCCATTTGAGTGACATGCATATGTTGTCGTGTGAAGCCAAATACCCAACCAAGTGTTTCAACACTGTCATGCTTTTCACCGTAGGTTGTGTTGAGTATGTTGACAAGTGCCTCACTATGTGCTGGCAGTGCGGCAAGTCACTTGCTAGATACAAAAGTATCCCAACACATGTTCTGAACGCCTTTGCAGCTGCTGGGGAAACTTCATTGGTTGTATCAACCTGGTCCATGTCTGAGTGCCCAGGCGACTTCTTGTTTTGGAGCTTGCGGTTCAACCCAAGCAAACTGCACATTTGGTCAACATGCTTGTGGTGTGTCTCTATGGTGATCCTGTCATCGTGCTGCAGGGTCATGCGCCTTTTCAAAAAGCTAACCTCATCACCTGGTTTTTCCATGAGTTGCGTGGACATTTCATAGCGCTGTTGCAGGCACTTCACCATCTTTTGTAAAACAAATTCACGCCGTCCAACGACCAAAATGTCATCAACGTGAATAAGCACAAAGCAACTGCTGTCGGCTGTTTTCAAAATGCAAGGATAAGGGACATGCTGGCTCATCCCAAGCTCCTCGCATAGCACCTTGGTGATGTCCTGGTGCCAAAGCAAACTACCATCTCTTTGGCCTGGCAAGACGCGCCCCAGACCATATTGAACTTCACGGCCGTCCGCAAGTTTGCATGTAACCACTGTTGGTGTTTTCTGTTTTACAGTGAGGAATGCATCTTTCACATCGATGCTGGCCATGACTGCTTCTGCATGCTGCTTCATATCCAGGTACATCACAGGCAACAACCTTGCAACAATTGAACTGCTTGCTGGTGAAAATAAACTGTCACGTTCACTGTCCATCCATGCAAATTCACGTGCGACGAATCTGGATCGTCGAAGCCAGATCTGTTTTCCATCTTTGCTAAGCTTCTCGCGCCAAGTTCTGACAAACCTTGTAGACAGCTGCTTGGCATCTGCTGGCATTGTTGCTGCATCTGTCAGAACTGCCATCTTTGTGAGGCGTTGAATCTCCAAAGAATCTGCCAGAGCATCCAACCTCTGCAATTCAGAGTCATCCAAAGAAGGCTCATGTTTGCTGAAAGGAAAAGTCAGTTGGCTGATGATTGCATCATCGTCCATCCAATCACCGTCATCGTAGAGCTCGTCATTTTCAAAGTTCATTTCATAGGTCTCCAACTCATCCAGCTCTTCATCTTTGAAGGTGAAGGAGACTGCCTGATCTTCATATTCGTACAAGCTCAAGTCTGTGCTGGTGACTTGACTGACATGACCTTTGTCTGGACTATTGTCGCGCTTTGGAGTCTTGGGAGCACTTTCGCCTGCGGGCGTATCATCTGTCAGAAAAGTTGATTCCAGCAGTGCAAAGCCTTTGTCAGCAAATCGTGTCCTCTTTGGGGAGTCTCCTGGCGTTCCATCATCAACACGCTTTTGACCATGTGCATCAGCAGAAACATCCATTGCAGTAGCTGCAGAAGGAAGAGCAGCTGGGGGATCCAGCGAAGGTTCTGGCACGTCCCCCGCCTCTGCTGATCGCTCGACATCCTTTTCTGGATGTTCAACCGCATACTTGTGGACATGTATGGTTTCCATGTCAATTGGTGGAGGCATTGAACCCATACCAAACGCAAGTGGCTGACTCACACGCTTGCTGTAAACCAATCTGTTGCCCAAAGCTGCGTACCCAAATTCCCAAGGCCAACTTTCCAAATCACCCTGTCTATCCAAGTTAAATGGATTTGGTGTGCGCCTGATGCTTCGTGTGATGAACACTCCATCTGCAGTGCCGACTATATGCTGGTCACCTGACATTGTTTTTCCAAGCCAAACACCATGCTGCCATCGGGGTCCTGCTTTGAGGTTTGTTCGAAGATATCCAAGGACTTCTTCGCCATACATTGCCAGTTTTCCAGTATAGGATCTATCCATCCCACGTTCGAATGGCGTCAGTCCCTCTGAAACTGTAAAGTGATTGTGGAGCCATGAAGCATCAAGCAATGCCCAACAGTAAACAGGATGATTGCACCCAAAGACAATGCGACCAGCTGCAACCTGATCTTCAATCTGCTGCACAAGAAGTCCTGCACGAGACCTGATCTGCAGTACTGTGCTCTCAGCTGCGCCATTGCTTTGGTGTTCTCCTACCGGGGCACCTTCATCATGCAAAATGATGCCAAGAGAGCGGCATGCTTTTCTGACTCCATCCACAACTGACAAAATGGATGGTTCACGGTCTGTCCTGATGGCCAGTTCACGGTGCTGCGTGTAAAGAATGAACCTCGTAACTTCAGTAACCATATGTTGCAAAAATTTGGCACCTTTCTGTGGAGTAGACACAGCATGCATGAACTTGGTGGCACGGTCGTGCATGAACAAGCAAGTCTGTTTGTCTGACTCGTCTTCCATGCGGCTGCAGTAGCCAAAATCCAAAGAAAGCACGGAGCGTCCAACACCTTCATGACTGCTGACTGGATGAGGGTCTTGGCGTAACCTGTAACGAGTACATAGTGAGCACCAGTTTTTGAATGGCTCATGTGTCAGTGCATGATTCTCAACCTCCTGCTGGCTTGGTTCCTCAGGACGGGATTGCGCCAGAGGTTCTCTTTCCATTTCCTGTTTCAAACGCACTTCAGCACCATGGGCAGCAAGTAAGGCCTGTGCCTTCACATGTTCAACCATCCTTTGCAAGCACTTTGACTTTCCACCTCTTATTGACAAGCCCAACGCACTGCAACCTGCACGCAACACCTTGAGAGTACAACCCAGTGTCATTGTCATGCCATCCACAACAACTATTTCTTCATCAGCTCTATAAGGCACAACACGATCTCCTGCTAGTGGTTCACCATCTTCCTTGTCAACTGGCGCCTCGACAGGTTCAATGTCAGGGCCAATGCTGGGCTCGTATTGCGTACCTTCGTCGGCCTCAAAGTTGGCAGGATTTGCAGTTGAAGGATCTTGCATGAAAAATCCCAATTGCTCATATATTCCATCGCATACTTGTGAGCCAAAGTGATAACCTCAACCACTGAGTCAGGGAAAAATATCTCGTCCTCCAAGTTGTGTTGGATATCAGAAATAGCCTCGCAGTATTCATCGATCTCCCAGCCTGAGCCCTCACGAAAAACAAGTGTTGTCCGTAGCCACATGAGCTCATCGCTGGGACACAATGTTGTATTGACATGCTGAGGCCGCACAATTCTGATTACAAAAAGGTGTGGACTGATGCGGTTCCATCCATGGGTCAAACATCGAAGCACCACGCCTAACTGTAAGGCTCTCACACCAGGTTGAACATGTTGTGGATCCTGCTGGGAAACCATGGAAATTTGACCTCGAGCACACAGTGAGTTGTTCCTGAAGGTCACTGCAATTTTCATGTCATCCTTTACCAAGTGAGGTGTCCCATCCATGTGCATGATGTTCCATCCAGCTCGCAAAACACTTCCAAGTGACAAAAGTGGACACGTGACATCACTGACAATAAATTTCTCCTTGAAGGTCACATCGCCAAATTGAACATTGGCCAACCTTGTAGATTGCACTGTGAGTGGCGCTCCTTGTGCATCAACATAGCATGTGTCAACTGCGGGTCCTTCAATACCAACATGACCATACTTCAGAGGAAGTGCACTGGTATCAGCGCCAGAGTCCAGTATGACATCACATACACTTGTGTCACCATCATACGCATCCATGTTGCGACAGCTCGAAGATGCTGTTTCACTGTAGGGCCGAGGGTCCAACGATCGTCATCATCAGTTACTGACATATCAAACTCACAAAGCTCTGAAACAATACGCAAACCACATGAAGTGCTAGTTGGGGATGTTGGACATGAATGCACCGTCAAGTCTTCGAAATGGCTAACACGACTGAAACTGTCCTGAGCTGTGACCAACCTAATGGCTTGAGAACCTGAACCAGTAGTCATGCTTGAAGTTGAGTAAGCAGTTTCAGGTTTGGGCTCCTGGCCATCAGTCACAACTCTGACCTGTTGCTGGTCTGCTTTTCGCTTATGACAGTCACGCTGCCAATGTCCACTCTTCCCACAATAAGCACAAGTGTTAGAGTCGATCTTGGGCTTCTGCTGTTGAAAACCACCATAGCCCTTCTGTTGGCCCTTGCTTTGCCCTTTGCTTGAACTCTTGCCCTTGCCAGAGTCATAGCCTTTGCCTTTGCTCTTGCCTTTGTCTCCAGCATAGCCTTTCTGCTTTCCTTTGCCCTTGTCAGATCCCTTACCCTTCTTGCCTTTGCCTTTGCTTCGAAGCAGATTGACTTCCATTGCAGCAGGGCTACCATCACTAGCCGAGGCGTAGGAAGTCACTGCACCAAGCGGCGTGGCGCCGCACTCAACCAAGATCTTGTCCTTCGTCCATGAGCTTGAAACTCTTTCATATGCAACTACTCGATCTCGAACCTGTTGGTATGTTGTATTGTCATCCATGCCCAGTTGAATGTGCTGCTGAACATGGCGT